GGCATTGTCTTTCTTCATGAATCTGTTTCACCTCAGAGATGGAGATGCAAATTCCAGATTTCAATGCAAGTGTGTAAAGTTGTACAACGAATGTTCACAGAGAAGGATAACCCCAAACACAACCAACACAAATGACAGCATAGTTGTAGTGCATCACGTTTGTGTATTCATATATAAAACGTGTCCCATTGGTTTATACATACACTTACGCACTTTGTGTCTTAAATATACGTCACCAGAGTATCACGTAGTACCTCAGCCAGCTTGGCCTTAAATGTGCTCAATGGGACAAAGACAAGTGGTCGATTTTCCCTTGTGCACAAGTAAAAAAAAAGCGTGGAGTTTCACTTTTTTTAATTAATTTGCTTTGAGTATCCTACAGCACAATTATTTAGTATTACCCAATGAAATAGCTTCGATGTAATTAGCTACTTTTTCTCTATAGTTTGTAGTGTAGCTGTCTCCTATTATAAAACAGTAGCTTTGCTGTTGCTTAGCTACTTTTAATAAGTAGCTCGTAGCTTGAAAAGTTACTATTTAAAAGTTGCACTGTACACATACGATAATAAAAATACTGACATAGTCTGAAACAAACCTTCACACCCACATTCAAATCTACACAAATTGTACGAATCTTTGAGGATTATTCCACTCAGTGAAATGTACTATGGCATCTACATAATGACAGACATACAGAGCAACCCTGGGATATTAATGTAAACTGTATATAAGTTGCAAGTCCTTTTAAAACAGGTAGCTTACACTGCCACGCTGCTAAATTATCTCGTGATCTCGAGATAATGGCAATAAAAAATATCTGCAAGCACAGCCCTTCTCTACGGTAGAGGATTAGGGCCACCTGAAATAAATTTCACAGAATTCTGAGAAAAAAAGTCAGATTTCTGAGAAAAAAAAGTCAGAATCCTGACGTTAGAGTCAGAGGCTGGCTGCAGACCTCAGGTCACATGAAATACACCGAGTTTAGGGGCAAAAGTAGTAGTGGAGATGTCTCTACTGCAGGGGTGGCCAATCTTATCCGCAAAGGGCCGGTGTGTATGCAGGTTTTTGGGATAACTTGTAGGTCAGCTGTTCAAACCCAGGTGTGAGGATTCTTTCAGCCAATCAGTCCTCTAATTAGTAATACAATTAGGGAGTTGCAGCGAAAACCCGGATACACACCGGCCCTGTGCGGATAAGATTGGGTACCCCTGCTCTACTGAAACTGTTTGTGTTGCAGTGGAGATTTATTTCATGTGGCCCTAATCCTCTCCCGTACTTCTCGGCTTCCATACAAAATTGACTTTTTAAAGCACTTCTTTGATTTACGCCCTTTATGAGAGAACAGACCCGTAAAAACATTTTAGTTCACGAGAACAAAAGCACGGGATACACAGGTTAATATTTTTTTACTGTTTATTATATATATATAAATTACCTTTCGTTTGCCCAATGTCTTCAAATAATGGCAGCACTGGACGATCTGTAAAGTTTTCCCCGTGTTCAACTAGGGCTTCTTTGACGAGTTTAAAACCGTTCACAACAACGACACTTCGTCCCAAACGAAGACTGAAAATGTCTCCATATTTCTTGGCAAGCTTGATTAAAACATACAAATAGATACAAAAAACTGTTAATGTCAAATGCACAATATAATATTGTTTCAGGTACTCGGGGAGTAATTACCTTAGATAACTACATGCTGTGATCCAGCTTCTATATCCTCCTGAGACCCAAGGAAAAAAGTGTCCTTCAATTGTAGGTTATTTGTCTTTGGAGGAAATAAGACATCTTACAATAAAAAATTTTCAAATTTATTTTTATTTTTAATTTCGCAGCATGTCCTCTTTAGTGCACAACAGGAATAAATATGTTTCCTAACATCAGTGAAAAACTAAATGCAAAAATACAATGTCCACTACAATGGACATAAATGAATAGGTCGGGTCTCAGGAGAATATTGGTCTCTGTTACAGGAACATGGGACTTTGGCCCAGCAAAGTAAAGTTTATCCTGCTACCTTGTGGAGTTGTGCAGCAAGCAATTCATTTTGCATTTTCTTACCTTGTTTTCACCATATTCAGTACGCGTTTACCACAGAAGTGAAATGCACAAGATTACATTAAGTCAGTGACAACCTTCACTGTCCCTCTTCGGGGGCCCCCACCACATTCCTGTTGTCCCTCCCATAAAAACAATCCGGAGCCATCACTAGCATAAATGTAAACTTGTCCTTCCAACGACACGCATAAACTGAATAATAAGTGTCGACTTCGTTTTTCGGCCAAGGTGTCTACAGTCTAGCTCATGGGGTCCTCAGTACCCCCTTCCCTACCCTCGCTCGAAGAGATCACCTCCGGGTTGGAAAATTTTATATGGGGTAGTGGATCTTGGCTTTGTGTGGGATCTGGACCTCGGCGAGAATAGAGCACCCATGGTCTAGCAAATGAAGTTTAATTAAATATATGATAATTAAAAACATAATATTTAAGTAGTACATATTTTTGAAATATTTGAAAATCAATATTGATTAAATCAGCATTGAACTTTAACAGTGAAACATGACTTACCTCGGCAAACTGAAGGTGGATTTTTGATAAATCAACGCGAAATAAATCGCCGACAAAAGGTAACGACCAGGGTCCGGGGGGGTAATTTTTAGGGGCTTTCTGTTTTATTAAGACGCCGAATGTTAAAAACAAAGCGAGGAACGTCAAAACACTTCTGAGGCCGAGCCATTCAAAAAACCAGAGCACAGAGGCGGCGGTCATTGCTTATGGGAGAAACGAGGCTGCAGGTGAAGGAAACACTGAAGATCACTGAAGAGCAGAAGCTTCGTGTTGATCCTGTCATTTGACCAGCACGTCAAATGACAGGAGCTTGACAGCGCTTGTCAGGGAGGCGGAGTTTTGTTTTGCGAGGTAGGCTGAATGCAAGAAACAATGAGGCGTGTCGATCTGTACGACCGGTTCAGCGTTAAGTGTGTAGATTTCGAATAGATTCGTTTGAGTAGAATTTTCTCATATTACTTTCCGGTGAACAGCGCGCATCTAATTCATATCTGCCGCGGTGAAGTTAGCCTCATGTTCGATATTCGGTTTTCTGGCTTTAATAACTTTTAACGGAAGTTGTGGGGCGTTTTTAATAACAGAATTGTGATGTCCAGTACACAGACAACGAATATTTTTCCACTTTGTGCAAAATCGTGTTAATAGCTAATATAATAGGTCCTTTCAGCTGTAATGACATGGTGGTTTAGCATTTTGGGCTCATGGCGACTGTTGCACACCCCTTTGTTTCCCAGATTGCTTTACGTACGAATTTTTATGAATTTTTGAATGTTCCAATGTATCCGTATAATGTGCAATGGGACAATACATGAATGGGTTAATAACTTTAAAACTAGACAAGACAGGCACATCTAATGAAGTGCTTTGACACCCCTTGGATTTTCAGAATAACTTTCTCTTTAACAGTTATTAATTAATGTCACACCCTGCTCCGTACGATCCCGATGTGTGCCACGCCCCCTCATTATCCACGTGTGCTTTCCCGATCGTGCCCAGCTGTTCCTTGTTAGTTTGGCTTGTCTGCTGTATTTAGTCCGCGTCTGAGTATGTTACCCCAGATCCGTCATTAATGTTCGTGGATGTTCGTTGGTGTCTCTGTCCTGTCCGGAATAAACCCCGTTTGCCTGCAATCTCGGCTTGCTTCGCTTGCTTCCCGGTTCGCTCGCTCACCCCATCACAACAATTAATACATTGTTTGCACATTACATACCACTGGGGTAACGCAATAAAGGGTTAATAGCTGTGAAACAAAATGAGGCAGGCATGTCCTATGGAGTGTGCATGTACTCCATTTTATACATATTGATAGTTGCCAGGGGTCAGGTTTTTCCAATGCTCAGAAGAACCTGCCCTGAACTCCAGCTGTAAGTTCCTTCTCCCTTAGTCATGCACTTGCTACAAACAATGAAAGATTTATATGAACTTTAAAATAAATATTTATTCACAATTGCCCATATAAAGCAATTTTTGGGTCAGAAGCACGCAACGATCAGTATTATAGCAGCAAATCCAGAGTGCTTTAGAGCAGACTAACAGGAAAAAAGTATTTTGATCCCCGGACACATCATCTTTTTTGTCACACCAAATACGTTAACCCTATCTAATAACACACGTGAATGTATACATAATTGAGAATTTGGACCACTTCTCGCTGATCCTGTGAACTCAATTTACTACACATGATACAGTACAGCGGACCCCATCGTCCATAATTCTTTTAAGATTTCCAGTTGGTCAAAATAATGTGTTATACAGAACCATTCAATTTCTTAGTATGCATGTGTGGGTACTCCAGCTTCCGGCATTGGATATTTTAGACTCAGCTCTTCATCGAGACCTGTTTTCTGACTCATTGCTTGTTTATTCGACCACAACTTTTGAATTCTAATTCTGCTATTGTTACGCCTCAGTTTGGTTGCTGACATCTTGTGTGTTTAGTGACCCTGAGGATTTTGTCTTTGCTATTGGTAAAATCATTCACTGTGAATCACTTTGCAACTGAATCATAACAGAGGGATTAGGAGGTGTTGAGAAACTTCTTGACCTTTTAACTGTTGGACACTTATTTCTGGCAAATAACTTTTAATTGATATGAAACAAACAGGCTCAGCGGGGGGTAGCACACAATTTGTAGGGTTTTGGGCAGAGTGTGATTCCCAATTTGAACTCCAGACTGGGCTCCATTCCTGGTGGTGCAGAGAAGGAGAAGTGCTGGAGAAGGGAGGTGAAGAACAGGAAGAGCTCCATTCGAGCCAGCTGCTCCCCCGGACACACTCTCTTCCCTGTGGAAAAACATGCAAATAATTATTTAGATAGTAATTATAAAAAGACATGTTTCTACATTTGTTGTAGTCTTATTACATTCAACTTCAGCAGAAGAATTCAGAATAAAAGGATCTATGCAGTAGAAATCAGGTCTAAAGCAAAGTTTACCAGCTGAAAAGGGCAGGAAGGCATCTCTCCTCCTGAACTTCCCCTCTGCATCCAGGAAATGTCCAGGATTGAAGGTGAAGGGAGTCTCCCATTCAGTCTCATCAAAGAGCACAGAGTCTAAAGTCCCCAACAGCGTCGTTCCCTAAAGCACAGACAAAGACCCCTGAAACATTACGAGCGTAACCTCACATGGGAAGAACATGTGAAGGTGTCAGCTTTCCATGAACGACTATAACAAGCTCCATGCGGAATTTCATTCCTCACCTTTGGAATTGTGTATCCTCCCAGCTCTATGTCTTTCATGGATAAACGTACAACATTCAGTGGTACAATGTTGCCCATCCTCTGTATCTCATGGATGACAGCATCAGTGTACGGTATGTTTGGTCTGTCTGCCATGCTGGGCTGACGTGACCGTCCAATCACACTGTCTATCTCAGCCTGCACCTTCTCTAAAGAGAGTAGGGTACAAATAGACAAACCAAGCTAACTGCTTCTGAATAGAGAACTCTTATTTTTTCCTTAATATGATTTAAATAAAACCAACCTTGTATGTCTGGATATTTGATCATGTACAACAAGCCCCAGTACAGCGTAGTAGATGTAGTCTCAGTTCCAGCCACGAACAGATCAAAGGTGCAGTAACACAAGTTCTCCTCATTAAATCCGGCGTGAACATCATCTTTCCACTGGGACAAAAAAACACTTTTTTTAAAGACCAGGAAACAAACCAAGCCGTGTCTCCTTCTCTTGCATTATGAATCATAATTATGCAGTCCGCACTCAAAAGCCTGGAGATCTGATGTGACAACCCTCCACTGATATTCTCAAATATGTACTAAATAAAAACACTACTGTGATGAAATTACAGTTAACTGTCCGGCCCAATACCTTTTCCATCTCCAAAAGGAAGCTGTCAATATAGTCTCTAGGAGATGATGGGTCCCAGTCTTCCTGGTGCTCCTTAATTTTCAGCCGTATGAAAGAGATCACAGTTTCCCAGTGTGACAGTATTTTCTTGTGGGGACCAGGGATTCTCCGCATCAACCAGGGGAACATATTATACATCTAAATTAAGAAGGCACATAAGTTACAGGGCTAGGTCAGTTAAAAAACCCATAAAATATTTATACATCTATGAACACATGTGAGTTGAGAAACAGCTGCTAACCTGAAACCAAATGCTTCCTTCTAAATAGATAGCTTCATTCACCAGCTTCAGCAGAGTTTGGAAGTAGCTGTCATTGTAGTCAAAGCGATCCCCAAACACCAGACAGCAGATGATGTTGGAGATGGCATTGTTCACGATGAACTGAGGGTCAAATGGTTGGCCTAAGGAAAGGATTTGCATCAGAGTATCTTTCTGAATAAAATTATTTGAGATCTTTACTGACGAATAAGCTACAGGTATGCTGATGTTTAAATTAACAAATGGAATTATTTATATATGGACTAAACAGCCAAATCCTGCATATCAAGATCATTATGGGATAAACTTAGGGTGACCAGATAATCCATGTCAGGGAGGACACTTTAAACTACTTCAGGTTTTTCAGACTACTTTAAAACTAAAAGGTTGTTTCGAAATTCCTACACTGTTACATAACTTATATGACAGCGCAATTTCAAACTCATTGGACATGGGCTTTCAAACTTCAACCATTCTGCAGGTATTGTGAAGAACAAAATGAAGGACAACAGCAAAAATGCCAGGCTGTAGGCATAAGGGTGCCATTCAAGGTTGTGTTGGGGATGGTGGCACTTTTCATACCCTTCCTAAGGAACCAAACTGTCAACAGACATGGCTGATGTTCATCTTTACCAGGTAAGTCAGGGGTACATTTCCTAAAAGCTCTCATTAGCAGCTGACATAGATGGAACCGTTCAGTTGCATGGTTCTCGCCATGTAAGTTGCTAACGTTGCTAGCAACTATGCTTTTTGGAAAATGTCCCCCAATTTAGCTGGGGAGTAGTAAACAACATTAGGAAGTCTGTGACGCTGTCATTGACAAGAGGCTTCTGTACTTCCCATACTCTGCATTTGGTTAGCTAAACAAATATCTAATCGATATTGCAAAAAAAAAAAAAAAAACTGATTGAAGGAAGAACTTCAATTTGCAAACAGTACATTTACAAGCTGGTGACCTTGCTATTTGGAGTTCTTGATAAAACGTGCATAACAAACCAACATCGTAAAATCTTTAGTTGCGTGGGATGAAAAATAATTGCAATGTTCTTATTACAATGCTGAACACAAAATTATGTTTATGCTAACATTGCATTGACCTAGGCTGAAGTGGGATTATTACAGTTACATGCGGCAATTGTTCCAGGAAACCTTAAATGCAAACTCAGAAGCATTCACTTGCAATCTCTGAGCAACTGGCCATTCCTCAAAATCCAGTTCCTCCTCTGACAGGCTCAAACATATATGGTTGGATGCCTAAACATTCCATGTTTCACCTCACATATAGTGATCTATGTTGGTTCTGTGTGAGCCCTTGCAATGCCTCACTGTATACCAGCCAGTCAGAGCAGAGCTCATGAACATATTAAAGAGCCCAGCAAATAAAGGTAAAAAGTATGTTTCATTATAAGGCCAAATTATAGGCCTATGAAACCACTTCTGGACATTTTTTGACCAAACAAAGTTCACATACCTTCAGGGTATGTAGACACCAGAGAACAATTTGAAAAGAAAATGCATTCTATGGCACCTTAAATAGTACTTTATAAATCCTGTTATAGCTCAAGAGTCCTCGCTGACATGGATTATCTGGTCACCCTAGATAAACATCCATGTTTGTGAAAGTTTGTACCTTGTGTATTGGCTATGACCTCATTCAGTAACGTGCTCTCCATCTGAATGGAGGGCTCAAGGCTCTTTTTGCCCAGTCCAAAGTTCTTCAGGGTTGAGAGGGCAAACCTTCTTTGTTGTTTCCATAGGTAGCCATTGGAGTTCACCAAACCTTAAAAAAAACACATCACAACCAGCACCGTCCCAATGACATTTGAACAGGCTTGTGTAACCTTGCTGCTTAAAAACCGCACACTTGACCCATCACATATTGATAATCTGGCTTCAGACCTGGACAGCCAATGGAAACTGCACTCATTGTGTCCATCAAGGTCCACCAGGAACCACCAGGAAGAGTAATGATAGATGACCTATTCTTTGCTGAGCAGATAACAGTGGATGATTAGGGCTTGTCTAAGTGTCGGTTTCAAGTCCAGGCACCTGTTGTCTCACAACAAGGCTAGTGTGTACCAGCTTATCCTGTCAAACAGCTGCAAATGATACAAAATGCAGCAGAACATGCAGCTTTCAATCAGCCTAAATGCTGTCATGTCACACCCCTTCATGGATCTCTTAAATGGCTTCCTATAGCCCTGGTAGAAATAATGGTTTAACTGGACTGGATTCTCAGAACCATCACCATTTGGCAAGAGGGTAAGTTTGGTTTCAACACTGACCCCGAACTCCCCACCCCACTAAACACATACGGGACTCCCACCCCAAATCTACACCCTTACCATTTCGGCCTTTTAATATGCAACCAACCAGCTCAAATTAGAGAATATAAAACAGCATTTTAGTTAGTGAGAACAAAAGCACGGAACACAGTTTAAACATTTTTTACTGATTATCGTAAAAAAAAATACCATTGTTATGCACAACATCTTCAAATAAAGGCAGCGTTGGGCGATCTGCAAAGTTTTCCCCGTGGTGAAGTAGGGCTTCTTTGACGAGTTTAAAACCGTTCACAACAACGATGTTTTGTCCCAAACGAAGACTGAAAATGTCTCCATATTGCTTGGCAAACTAGATAAAAAAACATACAACAACCACAATTAATGACAAAATGAATAACACTGGTTGAAGCATTTAAAATGTATTTTTATCATTCAACAGATAACTACAGGTATATATACAGATCTTAGGAATCAGTTGATATTTTAAAACTTCATACTTCCAGTTGTAGAGTCTCATTTCAGGAAAACGATGGTTTATTGAATAGCAAAAATAATATAATGTAATACAGTGTAGACATACACTGGGCATTGAAGCAGCTCAAACACAAACTAAGGATAGTTCTTTACTCCCCTTTATACCTCAAAAGACCCTCCCCAACAAGGTACTATGTGTAGGTGTTGTGAGTGAATTTGCATATAAAGGGTGATCTCCTGGAGTGTGAGGACCCTGAAGCAGGGATGGGGCCGGACAGGACAGAGACTTCCCGGAGTTCCTGCGAGAGCAAATGGTAAGAGTCTAGCCCAGGGGTCTCCAACTCCAGTCCTGGAGAGCTACTATCCAGTAAGTTTACTATCCCGCTTGGCTTCTGATGAGCCACACCTGTTCCTGGTATTTACCTGAGAACAGGTGTGGCTCATCAGAAGCCGGGTAGGATAGAAAACCTACTGGATGGTAGCTGTCCAGGACCGGAGTTGGAGACCCCTGATCTAGCCCCTGACCTCCCCTGGCCACTGTAAATTCAATCACATCCTTATCATCCTAGTGGTGAGAACTGGAACTGGAACTCCCATCCTCTCCTCATGATCATGAATTGCTAACACTGTCTGTACTCAAAAGATCAACCAAGAACATTGGGGCATCTTTACTACTTTTCCTTACAAAGGCTTAAGTTTTTGAAGTGTAATTTTTATCTTATATAACTACATGATATGATCCAGCTTCTGTTGGTCTCTGCAACAGGAACATGGGACTTTGACCCACCAAAGTAAAGTTTCTCCTGTCACCATGTGGAGAAATGTAGCAAGGTATTCATTTTGCATGTTCCAACTATGTTCTTACCTTGTTCTCACCAGTTGTACCTACTACATATGCAGTACACAGTATTCACATTTGAAATAGACAAGATTGCATTTTTTAAAAAACAAAGGTGTATGAGGATGAAAGCTGATCTGTCCTCACAGTGCCACGATAACCCTGGAACTGGAAATCATCACGGTGTACAGGAGACAAGGTTATTGCTGGTTACTTTTGGCCAAAACAAGAAACCCATGTGGCTGACTGGGTAAGTATTGTTAATGATTAATATGTGTTTCATAGTGAGCTAGGGGACATAATCTTGCAAGTCACTGTTCATGACTAATAAAATTGCTTAAGCTCCATGCAGTTATTGAAAAAAAAACATACAATAATGAATTAAATGTTTCTCCAGGACTTTCCCCTCTGGAAACTATTACAGTGTCCTTGTGCTCATGGTATATCGGTTTCCTCTGAAAGTTTTGATGTCAAAACCAGAAGATGTAACACAGAACAACCATAAAACCTGTGCATCTGTACATGCATGGCTTTTACTTTCACCACGGAGGGTATTATTTCTAGTTGTGAATGAAGGCTTATAGTGTTCTGTTTTCCTAATTATGTGTTCTAGAGCAACATGCCCTTAAACAGGCTGTGGTGGTGCATCATCCTCACAGAGTGTTTTCAAATATGGGTATGACAGACGCTGCATGTGTCAAATGTTTCCCATGTATTTCATAATTGCTGTACCAATGTGTCGTTTGAAAATGTTATTCGAAAGCCAAGGACAAAGGTTTGCATAAGCGACTAATGAGTCTGTGGAGACCTTTCAGCCTCTCTTTAGGATATCTATAGGTTAGTCTCTGCAACAGTCTCAGATCATGTGCAAGCAAGTCAGCAGCCTAGAAGACACCGCACTGTCCAAGCAGCGGGCACCCAAGAGCACTTGTTGCTATGTCGCAGACATATTTCCAGAGTCATAAGATTTCTCATGAGTCAGCACACTCCATAAACTGCAGTTTTTAGTAGTTTTAGTAGTTGCTACATGCTGCTGCAAGAAGATGCTCAGTGGAAAGTAACATTCCAGAAGAAAGGAACATTCCAAAAGAAACTAGCCTCCCGGGTCCCTGTGCACCCAGATTCTGAGGATCAGCAGGACTCCCTGTACTTCTGCCTGGAGAGTCTAGGAACTGCACCAACAACTTTTGAAGTTGGGGATCAAGTGCAGTTCATCTTGACTGTGCTATTTCCAGAGGCAAGGCAATTCGATATAGTGATCTGTATTTATGAAATTACACAATCCTGTTGGAAATTCATGTAGTGATTTTGTATTTTCATTATTTTACATAAGAGAAAAAAATCTCTATATTATTTCTATATTAGTCCATCATCCACAGCCTCAATGCTCTGCATCAACAGAAGTCACAGAATTGTTTCTTACTGGTCCTGTTTACAGCAGAAAGTAATAGCAGTCTTTTTAGATTTACAGATTTTTTTATGCGTTATAATTTTGCTTTTCTAGTGAAGTAGAAGAAGGAGGCCCTAATTTGTGATTTATTTGGGCTTTTTCCCCTTTTATCAAAGCCTGATATTACGTCTCCCTTTGATTTGGTTCCCTGGATATTTTTTTTATAATTATATACTTCTTGTAAGTAGTTGTAAATATCCTGTTGTTTGTGAGTATGGTGGCCAGCCTTGCTATCATGTTAGGGTCGGCACCGACCCGTTTGTAAGTTTAAAATACATAAAAGCACCACATAAATTTATGTACTGCATCAAGGCTTTTTGTCAGGAACCTCTATTTAAACAGAATAAATAAAAACTTCTAACCAAGAGGTAAGAAACAAATTGGATGATAAATTATTTGAGGATATTTTACCGCTGATTTAAGATACGGGTCGGCACCCACCCGTTTAACATAACATATGACAAAAGATAACGTTAGCTTCCCAGGCTGTATCTGTCAAGACATCCTTTTACTGCACGACTGATTGCCCCGTTATAATGCGTCAAATAAGATGAAGACAATTTTGGGTTTCCAATTAAGACTGAAACATGACTTACCTCAGCAAACTGAAGGTGGGCTTTTGACGAGTCGATACGAAATAAATCGCCGACAAAAGGCAACGACCAGGGTCCGGGGGGGTAATTTTTAGGGGCTTTCTGTTTTATTAAGACGCCGAATGTTAAAAACAAAGCGAGAAACGTTAAAACACTTCTGAGGCCGAGCCATTCAAAAAACCAGAGCACAGAGGCGGTCATTGCTTATGGGAGAAACAAGGCTGCAGGTGAAGGAAACACTGAAGATCACTGAAGAGCAGAAGATTCGTGTTGATCCTGTCATTTGACAATATAATACGGATGTATTGCGCCACCTGCTGTAGCGCACTGCACACTGCTTCTGATCGCTAAAAGAAAAGGCCAAAGTGTTATATCAGTAATATTTAATGACTCTTTTACAGTAGAAAACAACACAGAAATGAATAAGTATCACTGTTCTAACATCAAATCCCAGTCTTGTGTTTTCCTTTAATAAGATGTCACTAATAATATTTGTCAAAATGAAGATGATAGATTTAATACAGCATTCTTTGTAGTTCAGTATCTGATTAATCCTTGCACCCAGAAAGGTTGGACCAATAAATTTTAAGCTTTGTGTAACTTTGGACTTTACTTCAAAGATACTAAGTTTTTTATTTATGTAGAACATAAAAGATCCCACGTAATAACATTAGAGACTTTTGCCCATTGTCAGTTTTAATGGAATTAAGTGACTGAAACTCTTTTAAATGTTAATATGAACATAACATGATTTTATTTTATCTCACTGGCACATTATATGCACATTTTTATCATGGACCATGACTCAGAAAGACTCACCATTGAAGAGTCATAAACAACCATACCAGTGTGTTATGAGATGATAATAGTTCACCTTTGGTGGTGGAGAACTTTAGTCAGATGGGTCAGAGTCCTCATCATGGGTTATGTAAGTGTTTATCATTCTACTGCTGGATAACAGTAAAGTAAAGAAAATAAATAGAAAAAAACAAAGGAGGACTACACAGAATATTACATTAAAAATTAAAATAAGTTTTTGACAGATCCCAGCAACCTGTATTTTGAGCATATAGGTATGGCCTGCTTATGGCATGTTTATATCAGCATCTGTAGGTGTGTGTGACTGTGTGTATATTACATTTTGAACACCATATGTCACCACAATGTGACCTTGTGGGGACATTTTTCATGTCCAACAAAAGAAAACTCAATTTTTAAAAATCTACAAGTGCAATCTAAAAACTAAAAATGCAAGTCTTGTATTTTGCTTGATTATTTAAGGTTAAGATTAGGGCTGGGTAGGGGTTCAGGTTCTCATCGTTGGGATTAGGGTTCTTCCCCATAAAAATGAATGGGTGGTCCACATAAAGGTATGAATGCAAATATGTGTGTGTGTGTGTGTGTGTGTGTGCGCGCGTGTGTGTGTGTGTGTGTGTGTGCGCGTGTGTGTGTGTGTGTGTGTGTGCGCGTGTGTGTGTGTGTGTGTGTGTGT